CTGAATGTAGAACCTGAGAATGGTGTAATTATCTTTAATTCTGGTTTACTGTGCCATTCTGGGAAGAATGGCACCCCAAAATTGTGGTAATGAGGGAGAAGAAAAGAACACATTGACACCGGGTTGAAGCTTCATTCTTCTATTTTCCCCTTTCAACTATGCAGATACTCAGTCTTCCTTTTTCCTCTGCTTTCCTGAACTCAGCTGTGGGGTCTGGAAACAGTGCCCTCACTTTTCTAGACTGACCTGAAAGACTAAGTTTTATGGGGAAATCTCAGGCAAAACGAAAGAGGAAGACTGGTGGGGAAATTTTAGGCTAGGAAAGTCTCAGCTCAATAGTCTAAGAACTAAATGAATACATTCAAGTGTAATTGGGAGGGATAAGTCATACATCAAGATAAAGTGATTAAAGACTGATCATGAAAAACTAAGTGGGGTCAGTTCCAATCAGAGCAGAAACAGCTGAATTACTTGTAAATCCTACACTTGGATTCTAGTCTTTTGCTACTTTTTTTTTTTTTTAACCATTTAAAGGCAAAGATCCAGAATATAGGGTGAAGAAGGATACTTTTGTAAGTTAAAAAAAAAAAACCTGTTAAAAGCCAGGTATTAGTTTAACAAATGCTTTAAAGATAACTTTTTAAAATAATTTAAATAAAAACGCTGTGTTATGAACATATTTTGGCATAAAATAAAACTAAAATACAAAACTGCAAATTGGTTTTTCTTTTTGACTAAATCACAAGCCCTCAGATGGAACCACTGAGTTAATATAATCCTGTCACTTCTATGCCCTGTGTCCAGATCTTAACAAGCAATTTGGAAGACAATTTTCAGCAGTATATAAACTTCAAGGGGCTATGCTAAGAGAGCAACTCTACTGAAGGTGATAATACCCTCTAAAACTCTTAGGCTGTGGGTAACTAGTAGTAAACCTGTTAGACTCTGCACTCCCACTGCAAGGGGCACAAGTTCAAATCCTGGTCTGGGAACTAAGATCCACAGGTGGTGTGGCTAAAAACAAAAACAAAAACAAAAAAGAAACAAAACTACAAAAACTCTTAGGCGGTTTTTAAAACACAAATATTATTTTTATCAGAGTTGGAAGGGATTCTGTAACATTCTGTAACAATCTTCTTTTTTTTTTTGAATGTAAATGCTTTATTTATTTTTTTTTTTATAGAGGGTAAATCATCTTACTTCTTTTTTTTTTTTCCATTGTTGAAAATAGTTCATTTTTTTTTTTTACATTGTAACAATCTTCTGAAACATGATTTATTATGTTTCTATATAACTGGAAACATATTAACTTTGCAAAGTATATTAAATAGAAACAATCTGGTTTAATGTAAGACCATATATTAACTTTTTTCACCATTCAAATATTCAGAAAACATACACCAGTTACAAAGAGAGACACCACTTAGCAGTACTTTCATTTTGTATCGACTCCCTAGCTACCCCATGTGTTTACACTGTATACTCAGCTATCTGCCAGCTGTCACCCCCTCTCCTGGGACAAAATTGGATTACTGCTAGCTTTCAGTCTCTCCTTTTCTTCTCTCTTCCTTCTCACCCTCATCCTAGTCTGGGCCCCTTCTGCCCAGCCATGATAGGTATCCTGTATTTATCTGTCCCAGATCCACATAACATGCAAAAAAAGGAAGGCCAAGGTCTAATGCTCTGTATGTGGTGAGGTAGCTGTGTGCTGTGGGGAGAGGGGGCGGTTTCCAGAGGTAAAGGATGCCCTGTGAAGTGGAAGTTTGGTGGCGATGTATATGGCCCCAACCACTAATCAGAACACGTGCGCTGACAAGTACAGGTTTACAGAAAAAAATCAGGCAGGATATTTGAAATCATGGCTGTTCTTGTCACCATACTTATATTGTATTTACTTCTCATTTACTGGGGAAAACACTGGAGGTAATGGGATTGTAGGAAATGCCTAAAAGAAGAGGGCTGGACACACTTAGTATGAAAAAACAGGGAAGAAACAAGTCTTACTCCAGGTATGGATTAGGCAAGGGAAAAGCCAAGAGAAGAAGTAAGCAACGTGTACATTTGGTAAAGTGCCTGACCAAATATTTGCACAATGAACTAGTTCTAAAACTAAAATTCAATTTTTTTCATTGCTTTTGATTGGAGACACAGGATAACTATTAGTAAGAATTACTATTTAGCCATCCTGTATTATGTCTAAACACTACACATATTACTTATGTTACTTTAATTATTGCAAACCCCTGCTAGATAGGAATCATCTACATTTTCCTATGAGGAAACCAAGGAATAATTTCCATACAGTTAACACTGCTATCAACAGCAAAACGTTAACTGTCTGACTTCAGTGTATGTGTTATTTCAGCTAATATGATATGTTTCCTAAAACAATGCGATTGAAGGATTCCCAAAATTTCAAGAGACAGCTTAATAGTATTGAGAGCAGTAGAGACCATGCCTGAAATCACACTCATACTTAAAACTTCAAAAATGGAAAGAATATAATTTTTTAAACTTTCCATTTTTTAAATGTCTGAGGTGTTAAAAGAGGGCATGGAGTGAAAGCCACGTCACCAGTGGGAAAGGGTCCCCCAAGGAGAATGGATTTACATTGCAATCCAGAGTCTACCATCTTTGGTCCAGTATTCACCTTCTGTAGGCCTCATTTCTTATAAGTAATTTAGACTTTCAAGATCCTTTTAAATTATTAAAATTATTTTAATACTCATTTATAAACTCCTAACACCAACCTCAAACTAGAAACCTTTTCAATTTTTTTAATTGTCAAGGAGGTTAAGTAAGGAAGTATTTTAGATAACAGGACAGGAAACAGAACCACTAATAAGGAGAGTGTCGTCACTCAGAGTGCCAGGAAATTGACAGATGATACTCAGCCGGCTGCCCTTGGCTAATTCTTATGTATATGACTTGATTAATACTTAAAGAACATTCTAGTCTTCATTCCTGCCGTTATTAAGGTAACTAACTGGTAATTTGGGGGGCTTCCCAGGTGGCACAGTGGTAAAGAATTCACCTGCTAATGCAGGAGACAAGAGTTTGATTGCTGAGTGGGGAAGATCCCCTAGAGTAGGAAATGGCAAGGCGCTCCAGTTATTCTTGCCCTGAAAATTCCGACAGAGGAGCCTGGCGGTCTGCAGTCCACGGGGTCGCAAAGAGTCGGACACGACTGAGGGACTGCGCACAACCTGTGATTTACAGATACGTCTCTAAAGGGTTATGAGATGGCCTTCTAGTTGTAGCACAACCGCCTGGGTTGAAATACTGTCTAGTCGCCTGCCAGGAGGTTGTAGGGAAATTCATGTATTAAATGGGAGACATTTTCAAATGGAAAGAATCTAGTTTCTATACTACAGAATGTCTGTCTGGACCGATTATCCACGAAAAGCCCAGGGCAGGGGACACAGTAGATTTCAATAAATGTTAAACATGAAAGCTTAAAACTCTCAAAGGGATTAATGGACGTTCTATTAGAACTGTTGTCAAGTTTAGGGGCTCCCCTTTTAAGGCAAAAAGTCACTTCCACTTACATTTTCACAAGTTTAGATTTCGATGCATTGGATTTTACTGAAGCATGCGAACGAACAGCTTGTGTTAAATACTTAGTAACGTGTTAATCACATCACATGTGACGTTTTGAATTTATAAGGCCCTAAATTGTTAAGAAATAAAACGGAACAGGGACCGCCTGTCAGCACTGATTTTTCTTCGCTTTTTATCTTGTCTTCAAGACGCACGTGGGTCACTCTGATGGGAGGGTGTCCTGATAACGTTTTCCACTCAAGAGAAAAGCAGAGGCTTGCACTTGGAACCCGCACGCGGCTGGCTGCGAACCTCGGTCATCAGCGCCCATTACGTAACTCCATCGCGGTCCGGCCTCCAGGCCGTTTTCCGAACCTTCTTCGCGGGGCGGGGATAAGGTTACAACGCCCGCGGTCATCGCAGCCTCTGCGAGTTCTGTGTGTGGCTACTAGAAACGTTTACTTTTGAATTTCCCTGAACTGCCGGGTGTGGGTGGTGGCACGGAACCGCCCCGGAAACCTCTGGGCCCCTTCCCGCCATCCGCTGGCCCTGCCCCGCCTGGGTGTCCCCGCGGGGCGCTGGGACGGCCCGGCCAGTGCCGGGCCCAGGGCCGCGGCGCGAGCAGTTCCCGTTGCCCCTCCCCGCCGCCCTCGGCCCTTCCCCGGCCACGCCCAGCCAGGCGCGCGGAGCCGACGGTTGCCTGAGGGCCCGATTTTGAATTTACAGGCCCGGCCCCCGAGCCGCGGGCTCCGCGTTGGCCCGCGACGGTCACGTGGCGATGCCGGAGCGCGCCGGCCATCTTGGGGAGGGAGCGCGGCGCCGCCGCCCGCGCCACCTCCGCCCCCCGCGGCTCGCAGCCAGCCCGCCCCTCCGCCCGCCTCCCCCCGCCCGCGGCGCTGCGCCGCCTGAGAGGAAACAAAGTGCTGCGGGCGGGAGACTCGGCGGCGGCGGCGGCGCGCGGACTCTGCTCGGCCCTCTCGGGCACCCTCGCCCCGTATTTCCCGAGCGTGTGAGTGTGTGTGTGTGTGCGCTCGCGTGTGACTGTGTGCATGTTATTTTTACAAAGGGCGTTTTATGTTTGATTGATTCGCGGTCCTCCCCCTTTGCCCTTTGTGCTGTAACCCGTCTCCCGCCACCCCCGGGTCCTCCGTCTTTCCTCCTCACGGCGGCCTCTCCGCGAGCGCGGGTCGCTGGTTCGTGCCTTCCTTCCCGCTTCGCTTTCTGCTGCCCCCTCCGTGCTCCGGCGCTGCCCGCGGCCTCCGCGCTCCGTTCTCCCCGCCGATCGCCATGGCGACAGCGACCCCCGTGCCGCCGCGGAGCGGCAGTCGCGCCGGCGGCCCCACCACGCCGCTGAGCCCCACGCGGCTGTCGCGGCTGCAAGAGAAGGAGGAGCTGCGCGAGCTCAACGATCGGCTGGCCGTGTACATCGACAAGGTGCGCAGCCTGGAGACGGAGAACAGCGCGCTGCAGCTGCAGGTGACGGAGCGCGAGGAGGTGCGCGGCCGCGAGCTCACCGGCCTCAAGGCGCTCTACGAGACCGAGCTGGCCGACGCGCGACGCGCGCTCGACGACACGGCCCGCGAGCGCGCGAAGCTGCAGATCGAGCTGGGCAAGTTCAAGGCCGAGCATGACCAGCTGCTCCTCAAGTGAGTGCTCGCCTGGCGGCCGCTGTAGCTCACACACGGACCGGGGGCTGCCGCTAGGGCGGGAGGCGATGGCCGGAGTGCCCACGCCCTTCGGAAGGGGCAGGGGTCTCAGTCTCCAAGAAGAAAGAATCTAGTGTTTTTTATTGGGGGCAGGGGTCGCGCAGAGCCCTCAAGCAGTAGTGATAGTGGGACGGGGATGCACATTTCCCGATCTTGGATACCTAGTAGGACCCGGCGAAGTGTGTGCGTGGGCCCGCCAAAGACCAGCTCCGGGCTTGGGGCTTCGGGCCGTAAGATCCAGAAGGCTTTTCCGCCCCGGGACTCGGCGGGCGCCAGGTGCGGGGAGGTGGCGTCAGGGCGCGCGCTTGAATGCGCGCCCCGGTTTCCGGCCAGGCCGGAGACAAAGCGTCTGGTGGGTTTGCGGTGCTGGAATGGCTGTCCGGGGAGATCCCGCTGCCCGTCTGCAGAATGAATGAGCTCTGCGCGGGCCGAGAGAGAGAGGAAGGGGAGGGACCTGCCTCCGGTCTCCCGGGGGTGGGACCCGCTTTGGCGCGCTTAGTCTTGGCCCTGTGACATTTTGCGCTGGTTCTGCGCCTGCCTTGCTCACGGAGGGAGGGGAGGAGTCTGAACTGCGCGCCACTGTCTGCTCCGGGCAAGTTGGGTTTTTTAAGCTGGTTAGCTTTGGGGAAAGGTGTCCTTTCTGTGGAGACAGAAGCGGGTCCTTGGATGCTTTGTACAGGACTTCGCAAGCTGGGTTTTCCTGTATGGCCACTTCTCTCCGATAGCCGGACCACCTACCCTCCGGCAACAGTCCTCTCGCATAACTTTTGCATCGCCAAGAAATAGTTACTTGATTTTTCGAATGTAAGATAGACCTAGCACAGTACCCCCAACTGTCGTGTTGGCAGGCCAGAGCAGGTGAAAGGGTGTTGTATAAATGTGGAGAGTTGTGGTGAGGGAGTTTGTAGTTGTTGCTGTTTCGTCGCTAACTCGTGTCGGACTCTATTGCGAGCCGGTGGACTGTAGCCCGCCTGGCTCTTCTGTCCATGGGATTTCCCAGGGGCAAAAATACTGGAGTGGGTTGCTATTTCCTCCTCCAGGGGATGTTCTCAATCCAGGGATCGAACGAAGGAAAGCTTGTAATTAATCCTCGTAAGAGAGTGTGAATTATCAGTCCAGGGCACAGAGATAAACTTTGCCGATCCTACCTTGCCTTTGTGAGGCAAAAAATAATGGCATGATTGCCACCAGTAGGCAGTTAGTGTTGATGTCACGCTTTAGAGTATTGCTCAGTTTGGCCATCAGAATTCCGGAGGTCTCCATCCCCTCTTGCTATTTGAAATTTCTGGAGATGCCTGAATCTGACTGACTTTGTGTTTCCCTGAGTGTCTTTCTGTCTCCATGCGTGTAAATGTCCCTGTCTGGGTCCCTGTGGTTTTGTATATGTGAATTTCAACTTCCTCGATGTTAGATATTTGAAAAATGGTTCAGAGTGTGTACACTTGGTAAAACTAAAATACTGTATAGACTGGCTTATAGTGATAAATGATGTCTCCTGACTCTTTCCAGGAGACAAATCACATTTAGCTCTTTTTGTTTTTATTTCTTGGAGTATTTAGTCCCACAAAATAAAGATAATAAGCTGGGACTTCCTGGGCAGTCCAGTGATTAACATCCTGCCGAATATGGCAGAATGCGGGGGGCACACATGGGTTCCATCCCTGGTGGGAGATGGTCTGGTAACTAATATCCCAGCTTGCCTCTTAGGCAAAAAAAAAAAAAAAGCTTGTATTTCTGTTTCCTGGATTTTTCAACCTTTGGAGTCAGCTTTTGAAATGGATCAGTACTCTCACTGCTGGCCCCCTCTTCCTTCAAATTTGTTGTTACTGAATTTCTTATCTTGGATGCTATTGCTTATGTGATTCACCAGTATCATATGTACCACTAAGAAAAAAGAAATTTCAGGGCCAAATATGTAGGATATATCCTGTTGGACCCATGGTGGTTTCCGGCATGTTAACTGTGACACAGGTCAAGTATCTGTTAGATGCCAGTCACTGTTTTATGTGGAGGATACAGAGATTTTTTTTTAAAAAGTCACTGCCCTTATGTTAATGTAGGGGAGATCAGCAACTAAGTAAGAATTGTGTTTCATGTAATCTGAAACATTTTTGGTGCTGGTGCTTTTATCTTTCCAGAAGGCATCCAGGAAAGGTCTTTTTACATAGTAACAAGACTTGCCATCTGGCTGACTGTAGTTGTACAAGGCTCTGCATGGATTGTAAAATGCATGCTGGTTTCAGCAAGATGAGAAAGTGAAGAATATGTGTATTATTAGTACAATCAGTGAAATCAGTGTATGTGATATTATGCTAGGGTAACAGATACTGCTGCTAAGTCACTTCAGTCGTGTCCGACTCTGCGACCCCATAGACAGCAGCCCACAAGGCTCCCTCGTCCGTGGGATTCTCCAGGCAAGAACACTGGAGTGGGTTGCCATATCCTTCTCCAGTGCATGAAAGTGAAAAGTGAAAGTGAAGTCGCTCAGTCGTGTCCCACTCTTGGCGACCCCATGGACTGCAGCCTACCAGGCTCCTGCGTCCATGGGATTTTCCAGGCAGGAGTCCTGGAGTAGGGTGTCAGTGCCTTCTCCGAACAGATACTAAGGGAATACAAATGAAGCAGGGAGGGATGGTGTCGTTAAGGAAGGCCTGTCTGAGGGCTTGACAACTGAAAACAATATTTTAGATGTCTATTGGGATTTGATAGAAAAATAGCTCGATAGATATATATTTAGCTCGATAGTTGTATATTTATATATGTAGACCCTACACATATATTTCTGTTGTGAGAGTCAGATATATTTTATTTTTTAGTATGTATCAACTCCTCAAAACATGCCACATTTTACTTTGATATTTCAATCCTAACTTTCTTTTGTTTTTAAATAGCCTTCCATCTCTATGGCTGATTAAAGAAAAGTTTTCCTTTAGCATATCTTGAAACGTTTTGAAGATATCTAGCTATAATATCTATTATGTGGGGCCACTTTCTTCCCTTACGTTCCCTGCTCCTAAGACATGGTGTACAACTAACAGACTAATATACTTGATTTAGACCCAGTTTCCTCCTGTGTTACATATTTTTGATTCCTTGTTTCCTTCATTCATTTTGTTGGGAGAAGCTTTAAGTTACTTATTCAGAAAAGATGGCAGGAGTTAAACCTTCCCAGTCTTGTATGTCTGAAAATAACTAATTTTTGTCTCATGCTTGATTGATAGTTGGGCTAGGTATAAAATTCCTCTTCAGAATTTTTCCTCACAGCTTGGAAAGTATCATAGTGACCCATTGTCTTCTAGCACCCAGATGTTGTTACTGTCTACCTAATGCCAGTCACAGTTATTTATTTATTTATTTATTTAGGTATTTGCTTTGATTTTCTTTTCCTCTCTGAAAGCTTTGGGATTTTCTTTTATCCTGGTTTTCTGGGATTGCATGGTGATAGGTCTTAGATATGGATATCTTCTTATGCATTCTAGTTGTTATGCATCTTTTCTATTTCAAAGCTTGATCTTTATTCAGCCCTGGGACTTTTATTCCATATGTTTTTTGAGTTCTATCTTCTTAGTTCTCTTTTGTTAGAATGTTGAACTCTTGGGTATCTTGTTTTCTCATAATTGTTTTTGTTCTGGGAGATTATTTTGCTTTTCTGCATCTCAGTAGTGACATTTTAAAGGCAGAGTCATACTTTTAATTCCAAGAAATCTTTATACAGATATTTCTCTTTATTCATCTTGTCTAAGGATGCATTATTTTCTTTAATCTGTCTGAGGGTAATATTTAGAGTTTTCTTTTTCAAATTCTCTTCTGCTCATTGAATTATCTCTTTTTCTTCCCTGGTTACTTGTTCTTTTGTTTGGGTTGGGTTTTTTCCCCCTACTAATTTTTGTCAATTGTTGATCCTTGGTAGTCTACATTTTCGAGTGAAGGACTAGGTAATGCTTGAAAATTAATGCTGGATTGTTTAGGTTGTTCCTTCCTACTTTTTATGAGTGGAAGAGCAAATCAGGACTTCTTTATATATGAATGAATGTACTCTTGGCCCACTTGTTGGAAAGCCTGCATTTATGTTAAGGGATGCCCAAGAGGGTGAGGTGCAAAGCTGTTTCATGGGTTAATCCATCATTTTAATTCTGCTTCACTTTCTCTTGTAACCTTTGTGTGCATGATCTGTGATAGGTACATTTATCTACATTTCATCTACTAGAAATTTGTTTAAATGTTTGCTAATGAGCCCTTTTCTGTTCGCTTTGATCCTGTGGGTTTATTTGTTGTTAACTGCTTTTTTTGTTAAGAGTCTAGTGGGGAGATCAATGCATGGTAATCCTTGGAAATTTTGGAAATCATTTAATTTTGAGCAATGTAATCATTGAAAGTATGATTTGTAGGATGACAAAGAAGTAATGTTTTATTATCTGGGTCCATTGAGCGCTTTTGTTTATGAATAAATTTCTCTAACTTACTTGGAGTCAAAGTCTTTGTAATTAGTCTTATCATTTGGGTGTATTTAGGTTAGGAAAGCAAGTCTTAAGAGAATTATAGATTCAAAAATTACTTAGTTTCTTTTTGGTTTTTAGCATTCTTTGTTTTAGCCTCACCTCTCCATGTGTGGGTCCTCATCTGGGAATGAACCCATGTGCCCTGCAGTGGAAGCATGGAGTCTTGACCACTAGACAGAAGAATTCTTGGAGACACTTGTCCTGTTAGAAAGAATTGGACAACAGTTTCTGTGCAGGTGGTCTCGTGCATGGAAACTGATCTCAGATCTAAGATATAGCTACTTTGATTCACTCTAAGAGTCCCTTGGACTGCAAGGAGACCCAGCCAGTCAATCTTAAAGGAAGTCAGTCCTGAATATTCATTGGAAGGACTGATGCTGAAGCTGAAACTCCAGTACTTCGGCCACCTAATGTGAAGAACCGACTCATTGGAAAAGACCC